AATTCCATTGTTTCCTTTTATTTGTATTTGACGTTCACACATTAACAGTTACACTTTATTGTTTCACGGGTTTAATCAACTAAGTCTAGATAATCTAAAACAAAGGAATTGAGAACGATTTGTTGTGGGCAACGCTGCAGATGTTCATTAAAAATYAATCATACGTCAAAAATAACCATTTGGATGGAAGGTCTTTTTCTACTTCCCTTTGTGTTGTCATTGCAATGTAGTATTTAAAGCCTTAACGTACCGTGTGCAGGATGTACTAGATTTTTTGATCAGATATATAATGAATGTTTAAACGATGCCATTTTCAGCTTGGTCGTCGTTACCATGGCAACGGTCAAAATTTTGGTTTGAATTTTTYCCCAGTTCATTTCTTAATAAATCACGATATCGCAAACCAACATCACCTTATTTAAGAAGCTCAATCTGTTCGATATTTAGTTAGTCGTTAAAATTCCCAGTCGGTAGAATAGTAGTAGCTAGAATTTATATCAACCAGAAGTACTTCTGATATCAACCTATTATTAAAATCCCCAGGGGATCTCCCAAGCAACCTCCCTCCTCCCACCCTCGTTTGCGTCACCCGCGATTACCTAAACCTCTTTCTCGTATATTTTAGATTGAATATGATATACTCAGTCATAAAGATTCCTCAAATATGAGCTACTACTTACTAAGTGTCATTCTCACGGAACACCTTTTCCGTGAAACACTTTCCCGCTGGTCTAAAAACAAAAAACAAAACACGCGTATCTCCTTTTCTTTATGAAAGACTTTTATAAAGTATACCCTTTAGCCGCTCTTGGGACCTTCTTTAACTAGTTGAGTTACCTTCAGAATTCCTGTTGATTGGAGYCGTTGGCCAGGAAACGAAAATTCTAGGAAACCTAGTTGATATAGCTGTTCTACCATTATTTCAAAAATATCCATTTAAACAAATGTACAAAATCTTTATTTGATAGAGTTAAATGAAAGCAATATCAGTGCTATTTCCTCGGGAAAATTTGTTCAAACAATTTGTCAGGATGTTTCAAAGCAACACCTATTTTTATCATTTTACGGGGAAAAAAATTTTGAGAAATGTTACATTTTTGTGGTTACCCGCTGAAGATCGCGGGCATTGGTGTTCATACGACAATCTGATTGGTTAATTACCTGTGACGCATGCGTAGTTGGATAATCAACTGTCTTCTTCAGACCAAGAACTGAATGAAGGAGTTTGCAAGTGAACTGAACACTCTCTTGGTTTTAAAATAGTTTTTGTGAGAAAAAGCGAGAATAATTGGTCTCATTTTAACGCTTGGATGTTTTGCACAATGACTATGGACCCGAGAAATGGTTGGACTCAGCCAGAACAGCAAGGTCCGTCACATAAAACTTGGTCTAGCATTATTGACACTAACAACTCGACTACAACGAACAGTAAATCCTCAGACTACATCCCTTTGAGTGCAACAACAGTCGTCAAAAATATGTTAAACAATGACAAAACTTATGGAGGTAAAAGAAAAAGGACTGACAATCTTGCTAGCACACGAGGAGTTGATGTAGGAGAGCTGTCCTCTGAAGAAATGGTTCCATGGAAGCCGAAAGGCCATAACTATCCTGACGGAGTGGTTGGGTAAGTGTTTCTTCGCGTGATAAAATACAAAATATTTATTATAATTACAAGTTGACAACTTATAGGATTAATCTTAATACCTTATTCTGCTTTAATTTGAAGTCTTCATGAAGAAATTTTACATTTTTATGAGTTCATGAAGCCAAGACCTGCCGAGCAAAACATGAGAAGAGACGTTGGGAATCGTGTTCAAGAAGTTATAGTACGATTATGGCCAACAGCAAMGGTAACCGAGCGTCTTTATCCAGTCACTTTGTGTATTATATCTAAGTTGGATTAGCTACTGAGAGAATTCTTTTATTTGGATTTTTAAATTTCATAGGTTGAAGTCTATGGCAGTTTTAAAACCAATTTATTTTTACCAACGAGGTACGTAACGTATGACAGTGAAAACACAAAAATTAACAAACATTTGCGAATCTCTTTTTATWGAAGTGTTAAAGCCAAAATCCTGCTGTGTTTTTGGTCAGACTAAAATCCATTGATCAAAATGGTAATATCGGAGAATTATAAAAAGTGTTGCCATGTTATGACTGAACAAATCTCTTGAAAAAAATAACAGGTCGATCTGCATCTTCTCCCTTTGCCTCCCACTCAAATTTTTTCGTCTTCTTACGTTAGATCACATTCCTGTTCCCGAGTTCTTACATTCAGAGATTAACTGCTAACTACTGTGTTGAATTTGTTTTATTATAGTGATATCGATCTAGTTGTTTTTGGAAAATGGGAAAGACTGCCGTTGTGGACTCTAGAAAAAGCATTACAAGCGAACAAGATCGCTGAACCCAATTCGATTAAAGTTTTAGACAAAGCATCGGTGAGTATGTTGCCATTTTCTCTGCATCTGCTTCCGATTTATGACCATTAAGASCCAGCTTTTCCGTTATCGATAGCTCCATGATGGTGTACTTGGTAAAAATGTACATTTTAGCATACACGTTAATTCGTGAATTTTGGATCAAATAGACATTGTTTTGAAGTCATTCCCATGATCTCTTGTGTATGCGATATCAATTACTAAACCTACAGCTACGCCTTTTGAGCCAGACATACTATGCCAGAAAAAAAGATCAAATTAGAAATGCAAATTGCCTTTTTTGTATTTTACGATGTACGTTTGTCCTGTTTTGTTTATACTATGGGAAAGCATGTTTGAAATGTTCGTCTTTTCGCTTATCGCCATTGACGATAATGCATAAATAACATAGCTAAATAAGGATATAACCAAAACAATGACGAATTGTCAGTCACATAAACCCACAAAATCTTAGCGGGATCATTTATCCATGTTTTTAATACAATTAATGAAACATTTTGTTATTAAATAAATTAGGATTTTCTATTTATTATAATGGTTATTTTGCTTGCGATATAAAGTACGTGTTTTAACTCACTAATGGCTTTTTAAGCTTATGTAATCTAAGRTGCACTACTTCCTAGACAATATCATTCACATTATAGAGAGATCACCAGCATAATTTTGTTGTTTTAGAAAACGTTTTTACAGTCTTGACAACTTTGTTAGACTTTTTTTATTCTATATGTCTTCAATGCTGTTGTTTTTTTTTTTTTTCTAATTCCATTTTTGACAGTTTTGATTAATATCTGCTTATCAGAATTTTGCATTTTTAATTTCGTTACAATGAATTCAATATTATTTGGTACGTCTACAAAATAAAAAAATTCTTTGTACACAGAAAATTTTTTGATTTTTGAATAAACATGGTGAGAAGACATACTTGTAAAGATTGTTTCTTTATCACTATTCTCTGTAATAGAGAAGTAGCAATTTTATTAGAAAGAAAACAATTCCTAGTGGGTGGGAAATCATTCAAGAAGTAATTTATAAAGGCTGCTTATTTATTACTAGAGTAAAAGTAGTCAAAACTGTGAAATAGAATCAAAGTATCTACAGTACTTATTTGTCTGTATTAATTTACTAACTAATGGTGTATGTCACTGAACCAGAACTGTGTACACACTGCTCTAATTCATAGACTAGTACATGCAGACTAATTAACGATGCTTTTTGTTGTTGTTTCATGGTTCAAGTGCGTTAACTCCATACATTGAGGATCTTACACAGTGGTGCGAAGATATGAATTTTAATTTCGAGTGGTGAAAATAATGTTGTTTTGTTTTTAACACGAGAAAGTAAAATTTATATCCTCAAGCCAATGTGTAATGTTATTTGTATTATATGGACAAACTAAAGCAACTAGTAGAGATGAACAGGAAAGTTGTTTTTATTTGACACACGTGTACTTCTGGGACATTTTTGTGCACTAGTGA